ATTAATTAATAAATTGTACCCCCTTCGCTGGCTTCCATTGGTCGACACCGAGACCCACGCCAAGTCGCGCCGAGTGACGCTAATGCATATGCTAATATACGCTTCGTCATTGTGTTGCCGGACCGAAATCGGTCAACCATGGCGCCTACGGAGCTAAACGATCTTTGCTGAAAACCATGCGCGTGGGCTTGGTGGGAATATTCCTCGTCGAAATTTTCCTCGGAGATAGTTCAAGGTGTAACACTAGCGTTTGCAACAACAGATTAAGCTGAAATTCGGAAAATACCATTGTTGGAGTACTCGTACTAGTACTCGAGTACTCGACCCCCAGTTAGTCTATGTAATAGACCACGGCGAATATAAGGGACTTGGTTCCGTGGATAACGGGTGATACTCAGACTAGACCCCAGTACTCGGGAGTACAAATTGAGTACATTTCTTTTTCATCGATTCCACTGCAACCTGGAACCTAAGTCGTTATCAGTGAGACCATTTCGGGATTTTCCCTACAAAATCCTTGTCCCAGCGCTTCATAAGTATGTAAATAAGAGCCAGCCAAGCGTATGCTTATGTTCGCTCTCTGCATGCTTCACGGTTACCAGTGAGACCATTATTTTCGGATTTTTTTCCCAAACAAAATCATTGTACCAGCGCTCGTGAGCACGTGATTGAGCCACTGAAGTTCGGTGTCGTTCTTTTCACCCAATTGTTTGGTGTCAGACTTAATCAAAGTTGTTGGTGTTAACCATTTTGGTAAAGAAAATTGTATTGCGTGTTGTGGTGTTTTATTTAATTTAATTTATTTACTCACTTGCTTATTTATTTACTTATTTATTTATTTATTAATTTTTGGGGTACTTTTTGGTATTGTACTCGAACTCAGACTCGGACTCGGACTTAGGTACTTGGACTCGGCCCAATACTCTGCCTTGAATGTACTCATACTCGATGCTTAGAACTAGGACTCGTCACAGTGTACTTGGACTCGGCCCAGGACTTGGCCCCTGAAGTACACGGGGTACTCGGCTCTGAGGAAAATACTGGAAAATACCTAGATGATATAAGTGTTCAACTGCTCGTGAAATAACAACTTGAGTAGATTCCTATTGTACGAAAGCCCTGTAGTGCCATCAAGTATATATTTTGTCCAAGTTCGTTTTTATGAGATATATTTTTCCCAAAGTTCGTTTTTACGAGATACATTTTGTCGAAGTTCGTTTTTATGAGATACATTTTTCCCAAAGTTCGTTTTTACGAGATACATTTTGTCGAAGTTCGTTTTTATGAGATATATTTTCTCGAAGTTCGTTTTTATGAGATACATTTTGTCGAAGTTCGTTTTTATGAGATACATTTTGTCGAAGTTCGTTTTTATGAGATACATTTTTCCCAAAGTTCGTTTTTACGAGATACATTTTGTCGAAGTTCGTTTTTATGAGATATATTTTCCCAAAGTTCGTTTTTACGAGATACATTTTGTCGAAGTTCGTTTTTATGAGATATATTTTGTCGAAGTTCGTTTTTATGAGATACATTTTGTCGAAGTTCGTTTTTATGAGATACATTTTTTCGAAGTTCGTTTTTATGAGATATATTTTACGGAGTTGGACAAAATATATACTTGATGGCACTACAGGGCTTTCGTACTATTAAGATAAATACATAGATTTGGGGAAGCTTTCGAACGATTTCTTCCAGACTTGAAGGTCAGCTTTACCAGTAACCAGTATTGACGTTTCGGCATCGATGACAGCGATTTTTTTTTTTTTACTGACATGAAGTTAAGAATTTCTTCTCCCGTTATAATTCAACATTTCAATCATACTGAGCATATTTTCTGAGAAACACAACGTTCAAAAGGCCCTCACGAATTTCAGCTCTACAGCGTCTAGGTACGTAATCGGAATAGATTTGCTTAACAAACGGCACGCTTTGGCGTTCGCAACCACACGGCTGACTATGTGTACAGGAAACCCACACCCTCACGAGTGCCCTTTTCTAGTTCTTCACGAGAGCCCTTTTTCACGAGTGCCTTTTGAAAAAAAAGCAGTCGTGAAGAAAGGGCACTTGTTACAAACTACTGCGGGTTAATCCCCCCGGCTGTGCCACTGCAGGGAGTGGTTTACCTGTGATTGGATTGAGTAGACTGTGGGTATGCCTAGTGGACTGTGTGGACAGATTACCTTTGCAATGGGCGGGGTCAATATTACTAATAAGAGAATAGTGTGTTTTGAGAGGTATTAAAAACTCTGTTTAAATCGGTTGGAGTCTGGATGGGTGATTAATACCCGAGGCGAAGCCAAGCCGAGGGTAATTATCAGCACTCCAGACTCCAACCGGTCTTAAACAGAGTGTTTAATACCGACCAAGCACATATTTATTTCCATTCATATATACCTTTTCGGTCAAAATAAAATCTTTTCGAAAAATCACAAAACCACCATTTTTGTTCAACAATTTAACTTCATGTTTTATGAAAACCCTCTGACTTTAATATGGAATGGCCATCTACAACTCCTTACCTTCAGTGCGTTCGATTACTCCCCCCAGCTTACTCGCGCCTGGCTCCTCGCGCAATGACAGACATGCGCAGTGAAGCTAAATAAACGAACGGTTTCGGGTAAAGTTTCGTGCAACAGCTGGAAACATGGGCGTCGCCAGGGTTTTTTTCTAGAGGGGGGCAAAACATTTCCCCAAAAAAATCCTGTTTTTCTCAACATATTCTCGATTTATCAGTTTTAGAGGGGGGTAGGGACATTTTGCGCGGCCCCCCCCCCCCATTTTATTTACACCAATATGACTTCTCGCCTCATTTTTTTTTTTCTCTCTCTCTTTTTTTTTCTTCCTTTTTTTTTTTGCTTTTCCGGGGGGGGGTTGAATGTTGCAACCTCACGCCACTTTTTTCTTCATATTATCATCTCAATAAAGGTCATTCATTGCAAAAATGATGATCAGACATGAATCTGGGACAGAGAAATATTTCCAATTATGTTAGGGAAAAAAATTCTTGACTCTCCATAAACTTTGTATTGCGGAAGTGGCGTCAGGTTGCAACAGCACGTCCACGGCCAGTGAAAATACGCGGGGACGCGCTGACAATAAATCGAAGCCGTAGCTCCGTGCATGGAGCTACATAGGGTTTGTAGCTCTATGCTCCATGGATGGAAGCCCGTTTCGGACACGGCCTGATGAGGCGCCCGCCGGACGTTGCATGGCCTTATGGGGTACTTACCCAAGTAACCGGCTCGGCGAGTATTGGGCCAGGCTCGAGTAAGCGCGAGAAGTCACGTGAGAGGTAAATCGAACGCTGTCGCGCTTGCACATAAGCGCGGGGGAAGTAATCGAACGCACTGTATATATTTTTATAAGGAGATTGGCGTGCGCGTCGCATGTCGCGCAAAACACAGCTGGGCTGGTGCATGTAGTGTGAATTTCGTACTCGTACTGAAATACTGATCACCGCCGTTTGACAGATTTTTTGTAACGAAAAAAGGGTTTGACAGAAAATTTGACAGAATAGTTTTTTGGGGCACATTTTTGGCAGAATTCTGCAAAAAATGGTTATTTGACAGAAACATAGTACGCCGGCCGACGTGGGAAAAACGAGGCGTCGAACCTATGAGGCGTCGGAGCTATGGACCGTTACCAGAAAGGGTTCATTTTGTCTGACAAAGCATGCAAGAACGAGATTTAAAAACAAAAAAGTACGACGTTTTAAGTCCGCGATGTTGCCTACCTGCGAACGGCGCTCTGTGCATAGCACTGGCCGCAGATCAATCCGCCAGAACGCAGTTTTTGGCGCGAGGGTTGGTGTTACGGGCGTAAATCGGGGGAGGGGGTCTGGTGCATCCCTAAATGTCAATGTGTAGTCGCTAACAATTAGAGGCGCTTACATTTAAACAGTTTACTTTAATTAATAATGGTTGTCGAGGCGTCGGTCTTATGAGGCTTCGGACTTATGGACAGAAATAAAAGTACATGTACATTTTTATTGTCGGATCGCGTCGGAGCTAGCTATGAGGCGTCGGACCTATGAGGCGTCGAACTTATGAGCGGATCCTTGGTGATTCCTAGAGAAATATGAACACATTCCTCCGGTGACCGCCTGGCAGTGGCGTAGCCACAGGGGGGCGTGGGGGGGGCGAAAGCCCCCCATGAAACCTTGTCGCCCCCAGTCGCCCCCCCCCCCCCCCCGCCTGCTAGCCTTTAGTCAAGTCCCACGCGCCTATACCCGGACCATCCGGACACGTAAGGCACCCCGGATGCTGGCACGTAAAAAGACTAGCACGAGCGGCGAAGCTGCGAGGGCCTTTATTATCTCGTGGAACTAATCACTTATTCATTTATTCACGTAATTTTAATCAAGCAATATAAACCAATCATCTAACAGTGGTTTGAGGTTACCAGCAACAGCACCCGCGCCATGGCGCGTGTGCTGTCTGGCGCCAGACGACGGCTGACTCTTTACGTTAGCAATTCTGCATTTTCATTGGTCAATTCACAACGGGTGAGCATTATGCATGTCTACCAAATCGGTAGACAAATGTAAAGAAAAACATAAGCGTTCTCCACGAGATGGTAAAGGCGCGTTCTCCACGAGATGGCACGGGAGGGGGTTGCATTATTTAATATGAATTCCAATTAATTTTTTTTGACAGAGCCCCCCCCCCCCCCCCCCCCCCCCCACACGGTTACGCGCCTGCCTCTGTTTTTTTTTTTTGGTCTGTCGTGTGTGCAACTACAACCATACAAACCAAGGGATTTGTCATTTGTGGTTTGTTTGTTTTTCTGGCCCAAAACTAAAAGGGCAAGTCCATTTTCCACCAAACGTCACTGACCTGACTGACTGTGTCTGGGCATGAGTTAAGACTTTCGGATCCAACTTGACTAGGCAAGTCTAGCCTTGTTCATTGAAACAGTTAGCCTGGCTGGATAACGTGGTCAGCAAATACCATCAAATTTGTTTCATTCCAACACACTTATAATGTCATAACAAGATGTGACAATACACATTGCTCCCAACATTTTTATTCAACATGACTGATTTTTTTCCCCAATTATTTGCATATATCATTCATAAATATTTGAAAGAAACCCCTCAACTTACAATAACTCAAGGTAGGTACATGTACATTAAAAAAAAAACCACATATCATTAGGGAAATGCCATTCACATGTATTTAGAAATGGAGATATTGATCTTGAGGCCCAGCAAGCTATTTTAGTGGCAAAGCAGCAATTTGGACATTTGTGACAGACCTTTGCAAGTAAACTTCAGATCCTGGATGCGATGGGAATATTGGTGTGAGTTTGGCTGGGCTGGAGACTGTTTTTTTTTTCGGACAAGGAGGTTAATGTCTTGAGTTGATACCGGATTTGTCCTTGGCAACAGCTCCTAATCCAGAATGGTGTCCTGTGTGTAGTGACTGTTGATCAAAGTTACCCCACAATGACCAATGCATCCATCATGAAACATTGGTCAGAACACTACATGAGCAAACCTTGTGGTTTACTGCCTAAGATATCTGCCCCCAGTGTCCCGTATTCCCACCAAATTCAATGATTCAGAATTTGTCCTTAACTTATTTCAAAGTTCTGAAAAAATATGTAAGTGATATTCCACTGTGGGATGTTCCACACTAGCTTTATATAGTCTGAGTATCACCCGTTATCCACGGAGCCAAGATCGAGTCTCCTGTATAACGTCCGATATGTCTATACATGCAGATAAATGTATATGCAAGCCGCATGCCAGCGAATCGGAGTCGACTTTACTAAATCAAGACGTTATTTCATTCCCAAATCAGGACTAAATGGTTTGATTGGTCAATTCGAATGCATTGTTTTGTAATACAACAACAGCCGGGTGCATTATCGCGTAACATAATACAGAGCGCGAGACACAAGTTTTTTTTATCAATTGTCTATGAAGCACAATGACTGAAGACCCAATATAGAAAGTGCCCGCTCATTGGTCAAAATCTAGAGGTTAAGAGGCGGTTGTCTTGCCTAATTAATCAGCTGATCTGCTCACATATCATAGACCACGGCGAATTACATAGACTACGCTAGCTTCAGATACACATGGCAATCCCAGCACACACTCGTTACCTTTTTGAAAGAACTTTATGCAACTGGAACGACGACGACAAAATAATAGATGGTACCAATAATGTTGAAGAAGTGTTCTTGTTCTGAAGTTAAAATTCTGCCCAGGGAGATTTTTGCAAAAACTGTAACTCCTTTGTTAAATTTTCGAAAGAAGACAGCAGGCCTAAATTGTTTCAATTCACGAGCGAATTGTAAATCAGAATGAGTGGAATGTATTCACTATGCGCATGTTGAAGTATGGCAAAAACATTGGTTTAATTGTAGAGCCGTACCTTAATGTCATCAAAATGCCTTGCAGCAGGTGTTCCTGACGGCTTTTGTTTTCCTCTGGTTTTAAGCACAGCTTTTTTCCCCTTTTCTTTACGACTGAAACTCCCCTTACTTAATTTCGATGTTGTACATTGTTTTAAATTACATGTATATATAATCTTGAAATCAGTCAAAGTTTGCCACATACAAGTGACTGATCTTTACTCTAAGTAGAAATCATCAAACTGCTACTGTGCACATGCATAGTTAGAACGCCAAATTTGCTCAATTCTAATATTGTTAAGACACTATGATGCATTTCCATTGCTGTGACAAAACAAACTGTCCAAAGATGACGTTGATTGACTAAAAGAAGGTTTCCTTAAATGAATCATGATCAAAATGACAAAGGATTGAATGTTACTGATTTACCAAATATGTTCTTGCTATTTAGTGAAGATTATCTAACGACTGTATATTTTCTTTGTTACTTTCTCTATCTTCTTGTACTATTCCTTCCATTGTCAAGCCAGCACTGCTTGCATCTTGTAAACTCTCGGATAGACTATCCTCTTCTCCATCATCTTCAGCATCCATGTCAAAAAGTCGGACCCGACGACGATTAGAAAACAACTGCAAATACACGTAATTGCATAAAAAAGCATTTTGTAATCACTTGCTGAATGGGTGTATTTTGAAAGCTGACAACATGCATGTACATACTGCTTGATTAATGATTATAAATCTGACTGGATTGATTAGTACTCACCACACATGATACTTTTCTGGATCCACTAACTGCAAATATACTAGCTTTGATGTTATCCAGTCGTCGACTGTGGCTGATGTATTGCCCAGCATCCAGTACCATTCTGTTAACAATGTAAGAGATTTGTATTGATACTATGCAGCACACTGAGGTTGGTGTTAATGTGAAGAAAACAAGAGGAACGCTATAGCACCTGTAGTGAAGTGAGAAACATGGGCGCTGCCAGGATTTTTTCTAGAGGGGGGCAAAGCAAATTTATTCCCAAAATCGCTGTACTTTTCCTGCATATTCTCAATTCATCATTTTTTCGAGGGTGGGCAGGGGGACATTTGCCCTCCTCCCCCCCCCCCCCTTGCAACGCCCATGTTGAGAAGTGGTTGTGCAAAACCTATATCTAGCTAGCCATTAGGGCGTCCCTTTTTAATTCTATGGTTCTCATTTTTTTTTTACCTTGAGGGTGGGTCGGTTTGTGGGGAAAAAAAGGGGGGGGGGGTGTAAAACAAATTACTTGCTGAACACACATAGCCTATAGGAAATAATGGTAAATGTTCACTGTTACTGCACGACTGCAAATGTCTCGTTCTGAGGTAGTTTTTATTTCCATGATAAGAAAACACATTAAAAATAAGCCTATCTTTGGCATTATTTTGGCATTATTTTGGCATTAAGTTAAATTAATAAAACCTCTCCTGTTTTGGTATAAATATGTCTTGCGTTCTGAAAGACGTCATCTGTGCCTAACTTTGGCAACATTTGGCATTAAATTAAAAAATCAAAATTGAATCTTTGGCAACTTACAAGAGAGTATGTATTACGAATCCGGCTAAATCAATATGCTATGTTCTGATTTACAGACCCCCACCATCTATGCGGAACGGCCTCAAAACTGCGGACTTCCTTGCTGACTTTGATGAACTGACAAAAGAGCTCACTGCACATTCATTTAAAATCGTTCTGCTGGGTGACTTCAATATTCATGTTGACATTCCCAACAAACCTGATGTGGCTCAGTTTCTCTCATCTCTCGAGGAAGCTGGTCTTCAACAGCATATCCAGGGCCCAACTCACAAGCGTGGACATACGCTGGACCTGATCATTTCAAGTGCCACTGATTCCATTGTGAAATCCTGCCAAGTCCATGACAAATCACTCTCAGACCATCACATTCTCAGTTGTGCAGTCGATGCAGCCAAACCTCGATTGCAGGCTGTGACATCAGTTTCGCGAAATTTCCGCAGCTTGAACAAAGAAACTTTCATCTCTGGAATTGTTGAAGCATTTGCAGAGTTTCCCTTTGACGGCACTGCTGATGACCAGACTACTTTCTACAGCATTGCCATTCCCAAAGTGCTCGACAACTTATGCCCAGCCACAAAACGGGCGCACAAATTTCGTACCCACCCACCTTGGTACACCAATGAAATCTACGAGGCAAGGCGGGTACGTAGGCGACTTGAGAATTCATGGAAAAAGAGTCGTTCTATCGAAGATCACATCAAATACTTGGATCAGATCCATGCAGTTTACAGATTAGTCCGTAGAGAGAAGTCTTTGTATTTTAACAACCAGTTGAGCGGTGCTGATACAAAGATGGTTTTTCGTGTTCTCAACTCACTGTTGAACAGATCTCCAACAATCCTGCCAACCCACGTCTCTGCAAACGGTCTATGTAATACATTTGTTACATTCTTTAAGCAGAAAGTCACTAAAATAAGGGAGACTCTCTCATCGCCTGTTTCTCCATCTGAAGGCCATGCAGGAATAGCTGACGATGATAACAACGGAGATTCCACTACATCGGGAACCGAGTTTCCTGAATTTGAGTCTGTCACATGTGATGACGTCCGAAGAGTTATCATGTCTTCTCCAAACAAGTCCTGCTCGCTCGACCCTCTCCCAACATGGTTGTTGAAGGAGAAAATTGATCTCCTTCTTCCTTACATTTCCTCTGTAGTTGAGACATCCCTCAGCTCTGGTAGATTTCCATCGCCCCTCAAGGAAGCTATCGTGACACCTCTCATCAAAAAACCTAATCTCGATCGGGAAAGCTTGAAGAACTACCGACCGGTCTCTAATGTGCCATTTTTGTCCAAAATCATTGAGAGAGTGGCTCTTGGTCAAATTTCGCAGCACCTGACCCTGAATGAGCTCAATGATGACCTTCAGTCAGCCTATAGACGTCATCACAGTACAGAGACTGCACTCTTGAAGGTCAAGAATGACATAATGTACGCCATGGATAGGAAGCTTGCTTCATTTATTGTTTTACTGGACCTCTCGGCTGCCTTTGACTTAGTTGACCACAATATCCTGCTCGACAGACTGTCTGAAGTGTTTTCTATAACATACACTGCTAGGGCGTGGTTTGCATCTTACCTCTCAGATTGCAAATGTAGATGCAAAGTTGCCTGTGAGTTGTCCGAACCTGAGTCCCTGGACTGCGGCGTTCCTCAGGGGTCGGTTCTCGGCCCTCAACTTTTCAGCATGTACACGCGCCCAGTGTCAGACATTATCAGACAATATGAAGGTATGCACTATCACTCATATGCTGATGACGTTGTTCTGTACACCTTTGCTGATCCAAAAACTCCCGTCTCAGTGAACAGTGCTCTCCAGTCTCTGTCAAATTGCATTCTACAACTACAGAAATGGATGACATCTAACATGTTAAAGCTGAATTGTGATAAAACTGAATTCCTTGTCGTGACTAGTCCACAGTCCCGGAGGTATTTATCTGATATCACACTCACCATTTCAGACCTTTCAATTCCTCCTGCTTCATCTGCAAAAAGTCTTGGTGTCGAGTTTGACTCGGCATTGAAAATGGATCGCCATGTGTCCAAACTATGTCGCGGATTACACTACCACCTGTCCAATATTGCTCACATTAGACCATACATAACCGATAAAGCTTGTGAGCACGCCACCCGTGCATTAGTAGCAACGAGACTCGACTACGGTAACTCTCTGCTATATGGAGTCAACTCATCCCAAATTCAACGACTCCAGCGCGTACAAAATCGTGCAGCAAAACTAATCTTCAAGGCCAAAAAACGCGATCACGTCACTCCCTTGTTGAAACACCTACACTGGCTACCCATCAAGCAACGTATTGTATTCAAAATCCTGACTCTTGTTTACAAGTGTCTTCACAACAAAGCTCCGACCTATCTCGACTCTCTCATCATGCCGCATCACTCTGCAAGACCTGGCCTCCGCTCCAGTCTGGACACGACCCTGCTCTATGTGCCCAGAACATCTACCGTAGCTGGTGACAATGCATTCCAGGCACATGCACCTCGGCTCTGGAATGATCTCCCGCAGCACATCCGACTGTGTCCTTCCTTGGATGTCTTTCGAAAGACCCTTAAGACATATTTATTTGATTGAGATTCATGTTTTGATAATTTTCTTGTTAATGTTCAGCATATTTTTTTTGGTGTGATTTATTTATCGTTCAGCGCTGTGAAACCATCTTTGAGTAAGAGCGCTATATAAATGACTTTATTGTATTGTATTGTACAAATTTTGCATGAGACTTACTGCTATAGACGACATCTGATGTCGCGTGTTTACATTCATATTGGAATGTGGCTGGCAGTATGCGCACGCATCGTGATTTGCATAAAGTTTGGTTGAGTGAATGATGGTCAGATCGTCTTTGAATTTATGTCACCTTTGATGTCACTCCCTAACAAAATTCATGCAAAACATGATGCTTACGCATACAGCCGGGCATACCGCCGGGCACATTTTATTTAGATGTAAACAAAGGGCACATAACCTTTTCCATGCTGGAGCACACTTCCCCATTCATTTGAAATAAGAAACAAATATATCTCTCCGGCAACTCTTGGCATAAGTAAAATGAAATAAGAGAAATCTACTGCTTTGCTATAAATTTCATGTTTCCTTTTTCATGTTGGAGCACACCTTTGCAATATTTGAAAATGATAAAAAACTGAAGTCATCTCTGGCAACGTTTTGACCGTGGACACCGCCATGATGGAACGCAACAGATATTCGAGTTGCTTCAATTCACCCGATTTCCAATCTGTGTATTTGTGCACTGAATGTAACAAGTTTGCTCATATTGAGAGGTGGGTAGATTTGAGATTTTTAAATTTTATACCATGCTTGGGCTTTCTACTTTTTATTTTAAGAAAAAGAACCATTAATATTTATATTTCTTACTTCGACGACAAATAAAGAGTTTTAAGGACTTGAACAAGGTGAATATAAGTTAGTCCCGATGCGAATATGTTCATGTTGTTTATTGTACATGTACATACACATTGTACTAGTCACACGACCAGGCGCTTCGTGCAGCCAGTATAGGTACGTTAAATTACAATGGACATTATTTTGCGGAATTTGTCCCCAGAAATTCTTAAGATTATCATTTTTTCTCAATGTTTTTTGTCTTGGTGGGAAATTTCAGCTAGGGTCGGCGGCATAAAAAAAGTGGTTTTTTTTCTCGCTGGGACCCAAAAATAGGGTCGGTCAGAAATGAGAACCATAGAATTAAAAAGGGACGCCCTTATTAATAATAAAAAAAACTAAAAAAAAGAAACTAGAGATTCATATTTGTTGGGTTACAATCGCTAGGTGATCGGGATTGCATCCCGCTGGATGAGGGCCAAAAAAAAAAAAAAAGAAAGAAATGAAATGAATTCTTAAAATTTTATTTGATTCTATTATTGAACCAGTAACACATGTGGATGTCTAAATAGGTCACGGTGCATGGTTAGACTGTCAGGCCAGAAGGGTCCATATTCAACAAAGCAATGCTGTTTTATAAAAAAAAAAAAAGCTGTAAAATGATCCTTGTTGATAGATAGGGAAAAGTATTGATGTTCCGACGGTCATAACAAATAGTTATTGATGCAAAAAAAATAGAAATCAAACTTACATATCTGATCTTTGGTTCAATGGTTCACCATGTCTGCTCAGTTGGGTGAAGGACTGGTAGCTAAGTGCTGCTAGTGGGAGCTGACAAATGACAGATGCACTTTCTTGCCCAGCCCATCTTTCTTGGAGTAGTACCGAGAGGGTGAAGTCATCAAAGAAAGCAGCATCTAGGATCCCATACTGGTTACATCTGCATTTTTACAGTTACATTTTTGTACAGATTAATGATTGTATATGAAAAGAAGAATCAAAACTTCATGCTGTGATATTGGACATTTTAGATGAGAATAAATTGTGTATGTTCAGCACAAATTTGGATCTCACGCAAATTTTGTGTCCTTAAAAGCATGCGCAGTTTAAATGGCCTAATTCATAAAAAATCAACTCAGGAATAAGGACAATAAATTTGCGCAAGGTCCAAATGTGCACTGAACATACACATCAACTTTCAAACATGATTTATACTAGGATATATCAATTAAAAAAACTTTTGTTAAATTTTGTATAATTTAAAAGACGTCCAAAAGGCATATTCAGTCTGTATCAACACCCCCCCCCCCCTTCAGCCACTGACTTATGTTATGGCGCTAGTAAAATTGGGCCAAAATAATAAATGAACTGATAAACTTCCTAAATGTATTCTCAAATTGCCTTAAAATGCAGAAGCATCATAAATTTCACAATTTTCCGGGGGCTTGCCCCTTGACCCCCCCCCCCCCCAGCAGCACATGCCTTTGGTACGTCTTTACTCAAATATCAACACCCCCTTTTCTGAAAGCTAGATCTGCTAGGTATATAAATTATTGGCATTTTGAGTATTTCTAACACACACATGTGAAGTTAGGTATACATGCTGAAATGTAGCTTTAAAGCATCCTCGTAATATAAGATTGTTTGTGCATCAATGAATAGTTACTCCTCTACTTGTTACTATCGTAGATTAAAGATCAGCATTTTTCCTAGAATTTTTTGTTAGTAGGAGTAGACCTATCTTTAGCAAGCCCCAACCAATTACCTATGTGAGTGATGTGATGTAGTACCACCATCATGATCTCCATCTCCAAGAGACGCGAACTTCAAGCAAAGTGCACACGCTTTGTCTTGACTCCTGCAATAATATATCAATAAGGTCACAATAAACAAAACACTGATTAGTCTGGCAGTGTCAAATTTGGGAGATTCGGCTGTACAAGTTCGCTGTTTAGTTTATGTTATTCTCACAATTAAAGTTAAGTTGCTGTACAAATTCTGAATAAATCAGTAACGGGGAGAGATGTAAAGGTTTTGACATAATAATGCTTGTGACAAGTGTTTGTTTGGCATTTTTAGCAGCTTCAACCCCTTGAACCCGCAATCCTTTTTTCGAGTAGTTGCTGGGGCGCCGATATTAAATGACTTCAACCGTACACGGTGGGGTCAACCAGGAAGTACGGTAAGCACCGGGTCACATACACACAGTGATGGCCGGGCCGAGGTGCTGGATTGCGCGGTATTTTACTTCAATGTAGGCCCATGTACATGACTTTGTGTACATGTACACACTGTATGTCCGTACACAGATAGAGATGACTTTGATAAATTAGTTGATAGTTTATGCTATTTGAACCAATTACCATGTACCCCAATACCATGAGTTTCTTCCCCATATTATTAAATATACTTGTAAAAAAAGCAACAACAGAAACTGGGTTTTTGTTTCCATTCTTTTTCACATATTTCTTGTCATTTCTTTTGCATTCCTCTTCACATTTACAAAAATCATATTTGCTCTTCTTATTTTCTCTTTCCCATAATTCTCATAATTACAAATGAAATGAAATAACTGAATTGGACAAATGATTGTTGTCCCTTATCCATTTTTTCCCTCTTCATATTTACAAATATTTACAAATGATATTTTACTATTCACTTTTTTTCTCTTTATAATTACAACTGAAATGAAACTAAAATATTGTACAGGGAAATGATATTTGTTGTTGCGCGCTCCCAGGCTCACAGACTAAATCAGCCAGCTGCTATATAGCCCCTTCCCATCGCCAAGGGGTTAAAAATCTTACTGATAAAAAGTATATGGTTGGATGCACAAGGATATTTGAAAAGCTTAGAATGTGTTGCCAAATCACTTGTCTGAATATTTATATGCTGGGGAAATGCCTCTAAAAATGTTCATCCATACAATGAACCCTCAACTTATTAGCTTGAAATCATATTGCCAGAAGTATTAATTTTGAGTTCACACTGAAAATTAATGTAAAGGGCCGTGCCTGAGGAAAGACGACCTCCGTTGTTCTTTTCCAAATTTTAATACATGTGCAAATGTAACATGCTCATTTGCATTGTATTTTGGCGATCTACATATTCTTAAGTAAAACATTATCTTTTTGGATATCTTTGCCATCATTTCATAATCATGCAATCCACCGCATGCTTTGTTTTCTTTTGCCCATCCATCCTTTTCCCTTTTAGCATACACCTCTACAGTAATGTACACAAAAACTTCATTCCAAAAATTTGTCTCAGATGGGACATCAAATCTTAAGCAATCTGTATAATGTATTAAGGAATTTGCACACACAAATTCTTCTATTGACGACTGTGCCTTTACTATTATTTGTCAATCTGCTGCTGTACTACCTTTAACACCCTGTTATAACTGATTTCCTGTAAAGCCATGACTTACCCATCTTGATGACAAGGCTGTCTAATGAGATATACCACTTCCGTTGGTGCTTCCTCAACCATAAGCACTGTGTATATATATGGTGCTTCACTGTGACGATGCCTGAGTAATGAGATACATTTAACAATTGTTGACTGGTGTGATGTGGGATATGACGTTTTGAACACCCGAGGGGCGCATAGCACCTGAAGCGAAGCCGAGGGTGCTATGCACCCCTCGGGTGTTCAAAACGTCATATCCCACATCACACCAGTCAACAATTGTTTTGTTATACCTCTGTATTTTGATGTAAAAATCACGAAAACAAACAACAGTAAACACAACAATCATGACAGTCTAACGGCAACTCACATGCATGTCGCGTGCTCGATACAGCTGATGGTCTGCTAGTTTGCTGCTCCCACTCATGTGTGAAAACATGATGAAAATGGCGTGGGTACCAACGATACAAGCGTTTCACACCGTACGTGCCGCATATGCACAAAGTCATAGCACACTCCCTATGGGATATCACATACGTGACTTCTGACTAGCGCCCCTTGAACAAAGACATTTACCAATTTGGGGAACTGCCAACATAGGGCTGGATAGCTCAGTTGGTAGAGCATCAGTATGGTAATCTGGAGGTTGCAGGTTCAAGCCTTCATCCAGTCTTTCCCAACTATAGTTGAATGAGGATAGTATACAAGACAATATGAGTTCAATTGGATAACAGAACTGACTTACTGATCAACAACCATATGGTGATGTTCTTTTCGCTCATCATCACTGACTAGTGCTGTATGTGTGAATAACGGCACTATTTCACAACAGCTCACTGACTGGCCCACTGTGACCTGGGAAAGATAAAAGCTTCATGCCGTCACTACCAAGTTGACTCATCTACATTATTCCGTGTTTCACAAGCATGGGTGGGATGACAAATTTATCTTCAAGCAAACTGGACGAACAGTCAGTTGAGATGGAATATGCTCCGTGCGCTGTGCAACAGTATTCTTATTATTGTTGATGTACCCTAACGTGGCGCGGCCCCTAACGTGGCGCACTTGGATTTTTCGCCGGTAGCGCCTACCTAGAGCAAAATTTTAAACTGAAATTTCACAGAAAGTGAAATTTCATCAAATTCTAAACGGTCCTGTTCATAAATCGCGAGTTTATTTACCCGTAACAAAGTTAGAAGGAAAAGCTATTTTGGCGTGATTTTCCGATTTTATTTTCAAGTGCAAAGTGAACCCTTTGAAAATGCCCTGGAAAATAAGAAAATAATTTTCTGACAAACATTTGGCTGGGTATGTAAGTAAAGATATTAATTATTTATCAGAATTTATCAAGTTTACAGGAATTCGTAAGTGTTAATTTGGAATTTTCCAAGATTTATTCAAGTGCGCCACGTTAGGGAACACTCCGCCACTTTGTGCCCAATTTCCGGACACCACCGTTTTTGAATTTCGGATTAAATTTTATGAAACTGAAATTGTTCACAGAGGTAAAATAGCAAGCATTGATAAGGTAAAAGTACTAGTATTTCATTGCATGAATTTGAGGTTTGTCAAGAAAGAGGTTTGGCAACACTACACGAGGAAAGTCGGGTAAGCTTCGAAGTGCGCCACGTTAGGGAACACGACTATATATGTACATGCAGCAGGAATGGCACAGGCATCTTAAAATAGCGTGATGTGCTGAGTGCGGTATAGACTGTGCTACACGGGATTATGTATGTAGCACAGTTTGTTACCATGGATCAAGCAATCAGCATTCAGGTTTCAAGTTTGCTTGAAGACAAAATTTAGTTATCGTACAAGTGCAAGTTGATGACTGATTAATGTCTGATCTGTGTACCATGAAACTGAAGGACAATGGCATACACAGGTGCACTACACTCCCCAGATCCACAAGCACAGGTGGGATAATGAGTTTATCTCCAAGCAAACTTGGCCTTCAGTAGAGATGGAACTCGGCCACTGTACACAAACTTTTCAGCTGCTATCCCATTACATGTGCATGCAGCATGAATGGCACACACACGTCTTAAAGCTATAGTCCATCATTTGTAATTAGTGCATTTTGTTCGTTTGAAGCAACAAACGTGTTCAAAATCTAATGAAGGATACTGAACAACTTACTTGATGAAGTTTCAGCTCAGCTTCAGCTGTATATTCCGAGAAAAACAGCATTCTAAGATCTCAATTTCAAATCAAAAGTTACTGAATCATGTTTTGAATTGTTTTGAATTGCAGCTATACGCGACGTCACGCACTGATCCGACGAATTATAACAACCGCGCGCGCGTGTGCGTCGTTCCAATACTTGTGCGCGCTGCGCCGAATAACAAAACGAACTACTAATTTAAATTTTCCTACGGTGCTTCTTAAGAATCACCGTTGGAAATGCCTTCTTTCATTGATTACTTCAAAATGACAGCTTCCCAGAAAGAATAATTTCACAGGGAGTTTAGTCCCCTTACTATCTTTCAACCAAGTTTGTTTTTCAACAATAATTACGCCAGTTACTTTTCGGATGGCTGCAAATGATGGACTATAGCTTTAAACTAGAATGGTACATGGAGTGTGGTATGGACGGTGGTGTATAGGATAATACCACGAAGTTGTTGCTGTAGATTGACCAATCATGGTAAAGGATTCAAGTTTGCTTGAAAATAAAATAGCACAGATTTAATTCAGTATTGTTCTTTTCTTTAAAAAAAACCCAAACAACTTCCAATAGTAAGAACTAAATCAGTGCGGTCTCTGACTAACTTATCGTAACAGCTTGCATACAGTGTCATATGTTTTATTTTCTGGGCATGCCTGCCCACTTTACCTTGTCATGAGACTTTGATATTAATGATAATGAGTTTGATGATTATTCAATTCAAGGATGACATGGAAATGATAGTAGTAACTACTTACTGCTGGTTTGCTCAGGGCATCTTTGATAGCTTGTTCCATTTCATCAAAGAGTTGCAGAAGTGATTTAGAAGGGTAGTGTTTGTATAAGAGAAAACTAGTCTTCAGATTAGGACTGCAACCAATGCATGCCTGCCATGACTCAACCGTAGCAGATAATACCAGAGGGAACTGTAGGTCTTGACGTTTCAAATATTGACCAACTCGCTCCAGAGTGAAGCCTGATTGTTTTCCAGTCTCACCTACTTCCTGCATTACAAAAGATGACCCAAAAAAAAGCAAACTGTATACACTTTTGTTATCATATTTTATGGCTTGAAAAACGTGTTTGGCAATTTTCAGCTGCTTCACTACTGCTGCTAAAAAAAAGCTTGTTTTCATTCAAGGAACACAGAAGCATTAGTAATTACATGTACCTGAAGCAAACCTAGCTACTGATTGACGAGAACAACCTTGCACATTAGGACTGGTATGAAATACCCTCAAATTATTCTACATGATATGTTATCGTTTGAAAGAAAACAAGCATGGAAAGTGGTTTTGAACAGGTGTACCATGGGCACTTGTTTCAAAACTAGGATGAGGTACTATATAAATCATCCTCTTGGACCTCATCTTCACAAATGCGCTGAAGGAGACCTATGAATATATAAGACTGATTTAAAGGATTGTACATGAGAGGGTGCATTTCAAAAGGTGAAACATCATCATTTACACTGGAAAGATTTGCAATGGCATCCCCTTATGAGACCAAAAAATAGTGCTTATGTTTTCCCTGTTTTCTTAGGATGTACAGTATCCACTGATCTTAAGATGTGACAGGTTACAAGTTGTTATGCACTCCACTTAAGATTTTGAGCAATTTTATTTACTACCAAAAAACCCAGTGCATATGATCCTGTGCACCTTTACAATTCCCTCCTTTTCTTTATCCACTCTTCTCCGTGGACTTCATACACTTTTGTTTTACCTTCTTCAAATAAACCACCAAGGTGGTTCAGGGAAATAGTGGCTCAATCCAAGGCCAGATCCAGAACACAAAATTGGGGGACAACTTAATTTTTTGTTCCTCGAACAGTGGGTCCAAAAATTTACCACCCCAAATTTAGTATGATAAGGGGGGGGGGGTGGGAGGGAATGAATTGCTTTTGTCGAGTTTTGTGGGTGGTGTATGCATTCGCTGCCTTTTATGTGACGTCACTTAGAAAAACTGGAAATGTGTTTGTGGACAAACACAAGCTGTTTTGCATGTTTGAAATTACTCTGTGACAGGTGATGACATCATCATTTCAAAAATCATCGGGGACCATCTTCAACTGCTGGTCTAAGAGTCTGCCAAGTCTAAAGTAATCAGTCATAAAAGTGCCAAAGTGTATGGTTTGAAGAAAACGTGTACAATGGGTAAAAATGCACAATTAATGTGACATAACTTGACACCTGATAATGTCATGATGACGACATTTTTCTGGGACCATCTGTAGGTGATGGTCTAGGTATGTGCCATGTCTGAAGTCCATCAGATTTACAAAAGTGCCACAGTGGACTGGTAGAGAAAAACATGTACAATACTATGGAGATGACTGAAAAAGAAGGAGAAAAACATAAAGGAAACAAATCTTAATGAAAACAAGATCTGTTTCGGCGTCTACCGAAACTGCTAAAATTGTGTTTTTTTGTGGAGGCCCTAGCCCCTGTTGCCCCTGCAAGTGACAGTGGAGTGCCTCGGCTATCAGACAGGTCAAGAGCTTGTATATGAGCAGAAGACCAGTAAAAGGTCTGTAAAGAACGTATTATAATTCTTAGGAGATTATAATATAAAATATATGACCATATCTCATCTTATAATAAGACAAGAAAGCTAAAAAAAAAACATACTTACACCAATTTCTTCAGAAAAATTTTCAGCCAAGAAATCTGAGATGAAACTAATGTCTCTCTGCCGCACCTAAATATGAAAGACACACCAAGAGTGCAGACAAGAAATTTATAAAGAAAAAGTTTATGGTTCATGATCTACCTGTACCATTTCAAGAACAAAAACATAAGGAGTTGTCTAACTCATCACTTTGTTGACCAGCATACATATCTTGCAATGAAAGGATCAAATCCAGAAATTGTCAGATCAAGGTTTATCAAGAATGCAATAAGCTACGAATTGGCCACTTCGAGTCATGAAGGTGTGTAATGCATGACACCAGGAGTAAACAAGCGATTCCCAAACATTTCTTCATGGTCAACCTTCTACGGGTGATATTGTCTGTCAGTACATCATCATTGCCACATTGTTTACTAGCAGTAGCACAAACCCAAGTCCATCATTTAAAACTTATTTTCAGTTCACAAAAGGGTCCATCTGGAACTGTATCAGTAAAAAAAGGCTTCTGGCTAGCGCCCCTTGAACAAAAATATTGACTAATTGGGGAACCGCCAACATAGGGCTGGATAGCTCAGTTGGTAAGAGCACCAGAACGGTAATCCGGAGATCACTGGTTCAAACCCCACTCCAGACAATTTCTTTGTTCAACTTTTCAATTGTTATAATTCACCTAGTCAGTTTCCCTGTGTGGTTCATGTTTTTAAAGTACAACTATTGTATTCTACTCCTTGACACCTTTGTGCAAAGCAATCAGTACAGTTTGGCAAGGTCTTTGGAGGGTATTGAAGGTTGTTTTACTAATGCAATGCAGCTACAGCAGAATTTCTGTATTGCAAGTCTGCCACACTACTCCCAATGAGTAAAAACAAATTCAAAAAATCTTGTGAAAACTTGTCCTTGAATGATGAACTTTTATTAAAAAGTTAAGTACTCATTCTTTGCTCTGGACATTCCTTCCACATCTAGCTGATAGATGCATAGAGATTTCCCGATGCTGTGAGAGTTCTTGCCCTGACAAGGGTCGTTTGGATTACGAGTCACTAGTGGCATAGTCAATAGTGACACAACGAACACTTTCAGGAAAAAGCAGAAGACACTATAACTATTCGATTGTGCACGTCGGTTTGATTGCATTAGTCGGAACAGGGTGGACCAGGTGAAGGTAGCAATCTCCCATCCAATGCACACCCCCTTTGAACTGCTAGCTTAGCCCTAGTCTACCCCACAGCAGAGTTCTGCTCAACAGCTTGGGCTAATAGCTGCCACACCAAACGAGTCGACACTGTCCTTAACTCTGCAATGCGGATCATCACAGGGACGTTGAAGTCAACACCTATGCAGTGGCTCCCTGTCGTCTCTCACACTGCCCCTCCCAACATACGCAGAAGGGAGAGGATGTTGAAGGATCTGTGCACCATCGAGGCTAACCCTGACCTTCTCATCCATGCTGATTTGGAAAACCTGCCCAACATGCGCCTGAAGTCCTGCAAGCCCTTCTGGTCTTCAGTCGAAACTCTTACATGACTTTGATCCTAAGACTAACACCAAAAATGAACAGATCATCACAGATCACAAAGTAAAACAACCCGGATTTGACCTCCATCGCATGCAATGGCTAACCCTGAACAGAATCCGCACCCTCCATGCAAGAACAGCCCCGTCATCTGCATAAGTGGGGGATAACAGAGAGCCCTGCTTGTGACTGTGGACGTCCAGACCAGACCATCCAGCACGTCGTGAATGACTGCCCACTGAGGCTTTTCCCCGGTGGCATCAAAGCCATCCACACATCATAACCGATGATGCCCTGGCCTGGATATCTACCCTTGACCTACAACTGTAGGTTGTGCACGCCATACCAAAGAAAACAATTAAAAAGTAATGCACAGAACTGTACACTACAGATGCAAACATATTGATCAGTTGTCAACTTATATATCTGCATTTTACCTTGTTCAAGGCACTTGGGACTGGTTCCTCAGAAAGTCTCATCATGACAACATACAGCCAGCGGAAAAATGCTTTGAAATTCTTCAAGCTGGTGTCTATCACCCTACAAAAATTAGAGAAAAAAGTAATTACCAAAATGTGTCTTCATAAGAGATATTAACCAAAAGACTTATTTCTGAACAAAGATGATATCTAACTGTCATATCAATCAACAGAGAAAATTCATGCCTGTATGGGCTATGCTGGATTTTTTCCCACAAATCAATTTTTTAATATGTCAGTGTTGTAGTCGAGTCAGTCAAAAGTCCTTTCATAAAGCCAGTCACAAGTAATGGGTGAAAATGAAAAAGGAATGTGTTTGTAACAAACAGTTCATTTGAATAGCTAGTGACTTGACTTGAGACCTGAAGGACTTGAGACCTTGCAGGGACATACTGGGATTTGTGTTAGACTTGACTACAACACTGATATCTGACCTTATTTAAGTCACTTTGTCCATGTTTACCTTCACTAAGTGGTTTGTATTTGTGTCATGTTTGGGGTCAATCTGATTTCAGATAAAGTCAAATTTTGTAAGTTAAAAAGGCTTTGTAAACTTTTGTAAACTTTTGAAAAAAATCAACTGAATACGTCTTTGTGACGTCATTTCAAAGTTTGCATACTGTAGGTTTTCCCGCTAAATTTTGGCAAAAGAGCAGCCAATTTAACCACATTGTATTTCGCGCAAAATTGAAAGCTGCTGAAAATGGTCATTCAATTTCATTTTATGACTAGGCAAAAGTACTATTGCGTCATTCGATTTAACAAAATATCCGTCCAATTTAACAATTCAACAAAACACCATTCAAAATTGCATGAGATTATTGAGGCAGGTATTTAGTCATTCAAATTCATTTTGGGGCAGGCATTTCTGTAATTTGTGCTATCTACAAAACACGCTCTGTTAAACCATAGAGAAAGGGTCCTTTCTGTATGGTTAAACTTTTGTTTCCTTTAGAATGTTAAATGAATGTTCACTTTTTGGCACAGGAATCACTTTGCCGATGTACTTCGAAGACAAGCTTTCACTGCAGTTTTATACGCATATTTTTAGAAACGGCAGATCGTGGGTGCTTCGCAAGAGTGTCCCAGGTAGATAGAGAAAGGTTGATTGAGGCCTTCGAGGGAAATGAGCAAAACCGCATTGAGCTTGTGGTCAATTTGAACATCAACAAGTCCACAGCATGATAAATTATTGCAACATATTTGAGGACTGGAAGGCGAGAGACGCAGGCAAGAGGAGGAGCAACCCACAACAAGATAGGTGACGACATGCGAAACCATCTGCAAGACATCCTTGACACCAATCCCATCTTGACACTTCAGCAGATGAAGGCTACTTTGAGTGAGCATCTTCCGGAGAAGCCTGAGGTTTCTACTTCTACCATAGCCAGGGCCTTGGATGGGATGATAACACTGAAACTAGTGGAGGATGTTCCTGATGCGAGAAATTCCCCCGAGGTACTCGATCAACGCATCCAGTATGCCGAGTGGTTCATGCAGCATGGTGTTCTGGCGCATCTAGTCTTCATTGATGTAACAGGTTACAACATTTGGACTCGGCGTTCCCAGGGTAGAGCTCCACGAGGGATTGCTGCAAGACGAGTCGTCGACAGACGAGGGAGGAATTGCAATGCACTCTCGCGGTTTCACGTGAAGTCGGCTTGGTGCACCACCGAATCAGATTCGAAAATGTGACGCGAGAGAGATTCGAGGAGTTTCTTGCGGACACAATTCAAGAGTGTACTGCAGTTTTCCCAGAGGATGAACCCACATTCCTCATATACGACAATGCGAGGCCTCATGTGCAAGCCCAACTCCCTGAAAGTGCCAACCCAATGATCCAGCTGAAGTGCTTCCCTCCCTACTCCCCATTCCTGAACAGCACAGAGATGGCACATTCTGCATTCAAGGCTGCAGTTAAGCGGACCCTTGGGTTACCTGAATGGCAACAACGTGTCACAGACAGACGGGCTGCCCAGCAAGTTGGGATGAACATGCAGCAATGGAGGTGTCAGCTCCTAGAACAAGTAGCCATTCAGAGCGTTGATGTTATCACCCAAATGAAGTGCATGCAGTGGTGCAACCATACCCAAACATATGCCAAGCTGTCTGGCCCGCCAATAGATTGATGGTTGAGGAAGACAATAAGAAACCAGGGGGAACAAACACCCCAACAATAACAAATGTTAATGTTTCACAAACACAAACACAATAGAAAATGAGGTCTTGATTAGTTAACCAATGAAGATCCCCCCCCCCAAAAAAAAGTGAAGACATGAAACAATTGCCCAGTACAGTTTATCTGTTTATTCGCATTTCTTTGTCGTACTTATTTGAATTCTCATTTAACGAAACTGATCTTTACGAAATTGAAAAATATCAATCAGCAAAAATCTCCAGTCGAACCAGCTTTCCTAAATTGAATTAAATGATGATTGAACACATTGCTGAAGGAATTTGAATTTCTCAAAACTAAATTGCATGCCCGAATTCTGAATTTGAAACACACTAAAAACCGAAGAGCCAATATGGCTTTTATTTGAACGCCCGAAAATTAAATTGGCTGCTCATTTGCCGAAATTGACCTGGAAAAACTATACTAACATAATACTTTAATAAGTACCAATAAAGCTTCAAGACAATCGAACATTCCCTTATGTGTTTTCAAAAATAAAATCACATTTTTGATATCATGATGATGTCACACTTTTCAACAATTTTTTGCAAGTACCTATGACCTACGAATCCTATTACAATAAGAATTTTGACTTTATTATGTTTTTTCATCAGATATGCATTTAAAGCTGGACTTGGTCATTACACGCAGATTTCATCTTGCCAGCCAATTTTCCTATAAATTTAAAATCCAATTGCCTTGGGAATACGCATTAGATTCGCTTTGTAATGGAACTTGCGAAAAACATAGATGAACGAGATCATTCTAAATTTAACAGTGGTAACTGTTTTACTTGTCTTGGATGCTGACACAAGATTACTTGGACAGCATAAATACTCAAAGTCAAGTCGATGGAATAATGTTCCTCAGGCAAAAGATGGACCAGGGTTTAGTCTGATATCCAGAAATAGTGATGGTGAATGGGGACCCTGCATTTGATTATGGACTAGAAAGGCTGTCTGCCCATATTTAGTCCACTCTCAGCCTGAAGCTGGAAAAATCAGGAGGCTTAACAGATGCTAACCCTAGGAAATTGCAGCAAAATGTTAGATTTGAAACAATGTAGTTTGGTGTGAGTATATCAGACAGAGTGATGACAATTATGACAAGCAATGACAAACTGCCATGGTCTTGTATGCAGTCCACATACCATTCCACTGATGCAAATTCAATATGTGAACATTCCACTATCACACAGTCACAGGGTCCACCACAGAGTAAAGACAAATAACAAAGTACCAATTGAATGTAAAACGAACAACAGATGGTTAAAGCAAAGTCAGGTGGATTTAAAAACAAACTTTTAATACTAAAAAATAAAATGGCAGCTCAACCATGGCACCCTCTGTGAATAACAACAAAAAACATTTCTCAAATAAAATCATATACATATAAAAACCATTCATAAATACTTAAGACAGTTGACCCATTCCTATTGGTCGAGAGCCCGTCACGTGGCCAGTCTTAGTAAACGAATGACAAAGACATGGCTGGCTGGTCTTAAAACACTTTTCCAGTGTCACATGAAATTCGGACTCCCATGAAATCCGGTGCCTTTTAACGTTTCATTGGTTGAACGTTCACATTCCTCATGTAGGCATTCGCAATACTACCAGTGTATCAGTATTTCATAGTCCAAAATTCAAACTACACCAGCCCAGCTGCATTTTGCGCGGCATCACACAGTACGTGCAACGCGTGCGCCAATCTACTTATCAGGTAAGGAGTTGTAGAGGGGCATTCCATATTATAGTCAGAGGGGTGCTTCATAAAACATGAAGTAAAATTGTTGAACAAAATGGTTGGCAACGTCTAGTTTTTGACTTGTTTTGATTTTTGGACCAAAATGATTTGATTTTTTGACCGAAAAGGTATTTATGAATGGGAATAAATATGTATATTAATTTTGCAATTGAAGAGTCAGACAAATGTGGTTTTATCTGGGTAAATTATTGAGGCTCTGTATTGACATACAGTGAGTTTACTTACTGGAGAAGTTCACTTGCTTTCAGCATAAAAGATCCAACTGCTCCAATGGCATCTAAAACAACAAAATGTGACACATGTACCATTTGCTCAACACAATCCTTCAAGAAAAAAACATTTGTTAATGCTTCTGCTCAAATACCATTTCCATATTAGGCAGATACCAGAATGTGGCAACTTTTAATTTTTTAAGGGGGGGTCATCAACCTTGTCCCCAGGGCTTATTTCATTTTCAACCTCGTTTCCAATAGTATAAGCCCTTGATAGGAAACTTTCTTCCTGCATCCTGATTCAATACTGAATTGGCAAGTTATGGATTGTTATTGGTGTTGTTATTTCCAATGTGCATTACATATTTTCACGTTCATTTTAATTATTACGTCCACACCTTCCCAAAAATAAATCATTCCTTTCCACTTTGCTCATATCGATATGAAATGTGATACTGCATATTGGCTGGAGAATTGATTCTGTTTTTACTAAAACCCAGACACTGTATACAAAAACAAACGCTAACGTAAAGCACAGGCAGGCTTTACGTTTGCATACGTGTCCAAAAATTTTGGACATGCAAATGATCCAGTAGCAGGGTGAGAGAGCGGGTAGTAGTATGCCCGTTGGTTGGGGTGTCATTTCAAGTTGTATTTCACATTTTAATTAAAATTAATTAAACACCACACATTTACATTTGTTTTTCAGATTTAAAACGTGGTCCAATAAAATAATTTGCTCCAATTCAAGGAAAATTTAAGGCTTATGATACCGATTCAGACTGAAGGAAAATTCATTTGGGTACATCATTATGAGCATAATGTTCGTAATGAAGGTTTGAACCATGCTCCATCGGTATGTACTGACAACTTGCGTACTGCATGCATAAAACCTTGCAACAACCAAGGAAATCACTGTGCACTGTATTGCAGGCATGGGCGTCGCCAGGAATTTTTCTAGAGGGGGGGGGGGCAAAGCAAATTTTCCCCACAAAATCCCTACAGTTTCAAGCATTTCCTGGATGTATCATTTTTCAAGGGTGGGCAGGGACATTTGGGCCCCCCCCCCCCCACCCATTAAATTAACAAAAATATGATTTCGTTGTTTTTTTTTTGTTTTTTTCTCAATAATGGGCATCGCGAGGGGGGGGGGACCCTTGCCCCCCCTTGCGAAGCCCATTATTGCAGGAAATCCATACACAGAAAAGAGAGACCAAGTTTTGTGAATTAAAACAAACAAATCTTCTTTTAACAATATTTGTAAGACATTTGTTTTCCAATTAAGTGTGAACATGTATAATCAGTATCTGCCTTGATCCGGTATCTACCTCGCTAAAATTTTCCAAGTGGAGGGTGTTCAGTGTTGTAGAGTAGTCCCCTGTACTACCTCATTCTAGCTATTAGCTTTATACAGTGGGAACCAGTCTAGTCTTACTGCATACCATGCATGCTTTCACCAGAGACGGAAAATGCAGATCACAGTTTGTTTGGTAATACAAATGCACTTCATGTGTTGTCATTCAGCAGTGATTGTTAATAAGCATACACAGAAATGTGGACAACAGAAGTGTTAAAAGTCAATTTTGAAAAGAAACAAAATTGGGGTTTATCAAGTAACCAGAAGCCAGTGTTGTAGTCAAGGTACCGGTACTTGACACGTGAGTTCATGTGACTTCACTTGTGATGTACTTGATCCAATGAAGCAAAGGTTTTTATAGTCTTCTTTTGGCCTCAATTTACAAAGACCCCAAACAACTCATGCACTGGCCAAGTTCAGTATTCAATATTCAATATTCAATATTGTATCTAGTGCAAAGCATTCTCAAATACAAAAGTTCTGCATTTGAACCATCACTTTCAGTATGTTATTAAGTGTAGAAAAAAACTGTGATTTTAGTTATCTCACTGCATTTCTGAGTTATAGGAATTTTAGTTTAAAAAAACACAATGTTTTATTATGCCAGGATTTCAGATGAAATGAATAAACTGAAATGCAAAATATGGCACATATAATTTGTTGACTTTACCAACCCCACACCCCCGATCCATACTGGTACAGCATTGAGCAATTTTGTGTAGTCTAAAATTACTGACCTTGAATGGCAGTAGGTGACAGCCCAATGACGCCATATTTGTCATACCATAGAGACATTCCCTTTAGTTGGTTCAGATGATACACCAATGACCGACAGACACTGCCACAAGAAATATTTACAAGTACACTGTAAATACTATCTAAGATGAGAAATATACCTTTCCTCACAATGTCTCGCAATGCTCTTAGCAATGTTTATTATTAGTGTGCTCACTTGTCACCCTCGTATCTCTGGTGAGGCTTCATCAGTACCCCCTTCCAACAATGATCCTGCCTATCACTAATACATGTTATGAGTTCTCACACTAAGGACCACATTGTTAATTATTTGGATTTGATACAACCATTATAGCAATACATGTACATAAAATCGCTGACAGTCAAGATATGAGTTGAAGTGCATCATTTTCAATCCCCCTTTACCTGAACTTCAAAGTTTGCATGTTTAGAGCATCATCACTCCATTTGGTATTTGTAAACTAACAATATAAATAGAATTGACACAGATTTGGTTAATTTCTGGGGTTTTTTGGTGTGTGTTCATTAGTATACACTAGAATATATTGGTGCTTAATAAACCAGATGGAGGTTCAAACAGCTTTATCATCTCTATGGAGACATTTGCAGATGGGCCGAAAATCTGCATTGTACCTGTCAATGGCAGGCATGATGCATCTCTTCTTGTAGGATGACATTTGGAACTTGAATTTACCTGTGAATGTGTTTCAATACAAGTTTTTGTATATTGGAGTAAGAGTTCTCCACCGATTGACCCAGCTTCTTCATGCCTTTTTCTGTAAGTTCATGTAGCAAGAAAGCTTGTAACTCGGGACTGGCACGACCCCAAAGAAGCAACTGCAGCAACTCATCACGAACACTACCAGCAGTCTTCTTTTGCTGATACACATATCAAAAGACAAGAAAATATGTCACTAGAGTTGTTTGAGTATGTGCTGTAGCTGAACCACCAAAATGAACCCACTATTTGCCGAATACAGCACATCTGAACAGTACCGGTTGCAAACCAAACTCAATTGTTCAGTCTGCATGTTCGGAAAACCAAAGCTGATTTCTTTTTTAATACGCAACCAAAATATACTTTGCACAGTAGAATTATCGAATTTTAGAGAGTACCTGGGAAAGAAGTTTGTTATTTAATAAACTTATTCATGAAAAGTCCTGTTTGAAGTTTATTAATGTTTCATAATGTTTTGTGTGTTATGGTGGTGCAGTATGTTCCAAGGAATGATAAAGGATTCATATTGTAATGGTTTGTTTTTGACAGTAATAAGATAGTAGAAAAGATGAAAATTCAATGCATACACAACACATTTATATTGTGTATGAATGTTCATATCGAGTGCTGGATCAACATGTTCACAAGTATTGCCTTCTCAGAACCTCAGAATAGAGAGTTGTTACATATGGTACTATCGTAAATCTTTATCTAATTGCTATCTTTAGCATGCAAACGTTCAAATGTTACCCGAGTTTCCATGAATTGAATGTTAGTTAACCGTAATGGCACACACATGTAAACAACTTGGTATTGATTTATGATGAGTTTGAGCATCCATCCACTATCAGATAGTAGCCAATAAAGACTATTTGGGGCCTGTTAGCCTCACCATGTTGATGCCAGCTTGCCTGAATCAATTTTGCTACTACACGTACATGTATACGTTCCAGAATAAACCATATTAGCTGTGACCAGACAAAAAAAAAAAAAAAGTGCACCATGTTTCCTTCCCTGAATGGAGTGTCAGGTGCGGATCCGGGGGGGGGGGGGGGTAAGCTGTAAAAAAAAATGGGTTTTTTCCACATAAATTCCTTAAAAATACCCTAAAAAATTATACTGGTAATAATGCACAATATAAAGACAGAGCCAGCTTGGTCAGGGGGTATTTGTAAACTAATCTGTAAATAATTTGTAATCTATAAGTGTTAAGTGTCCGGAGAAGAAAACTGTCTACATTTCAAAATTTGTTGCCGATGAAAGAAAAAACTGCGAATTCCTGGATCCGCCCCTGAGTATAACAGGTGTGATATTCAACCCTCAGAAAAAAAAAGAATCCTATTAACTAGGAAAACCATTATGCCTGTAAAACTGGAATGAGCACCTTCAATTTAATTGAAGATACATTTATATCAGCCAGGGGGCAACCCGATGTTATCAGAATCACATCTGAGTGACTTACTGCTGACAAGAACTGTTTCTCCTCATAATCAAAATTGATCTTGTTAACATACAGAGGAGGGCTCTATCTGAACCAAGGTAAGCAGGGTTCGACCTTGCCTTTTTTTTCACCTTTCACCTTAACCATATCCCAATAATTTCATACTCTCCGGCCGGGCTACTTAAGGAATAGTTTGACTACCCCCCAGTCGCTGTTTTGACTTGTATTTGGCTAGAGGGCTACCGCTAAAGTCGAACCCTGAAGAAAGGCAACAGAGATAATCTACAAGAAATCCTGGAATTCATGTAAATGATTGAAAAAGAACTGCTTTCTTTCTCCAAATTGTTGAAGCCATTGGTGGATAAATTAATGCAGAAACTATCAGCATTATCGAACATGTCATTAAAAATTGGAATCAGATGAAATCTAAGAGCAAAACAGAGAATATAAACAAGTAAAGACAGGAACCTAAACCAAAAAATTAATCAAAAGACAAAGGGGAGAAAATGCAAAACAGTTGAGGAAATGAGAGGCATTATAGATGCCACAAGGCAACATGTTTTATGTACTATTACTATACCTCATAAATATTCATCAGGCAACCGTGGCATTTCATTGCTCCATTCCAGAAACTCAACCGTGTGAAAGTTTTTCTTGGTACGTGCGCGTGATGCGCAACACCAGGGAGGTACTATCCCACACCTAGGTCGCAGCCTTAGATTTGTTCCAGTACTGTGCTATCTCTTTACTAACGACGTGCTTTATGTATGTGCTTTACGTGCGTACCATGGAGAACATCAGTGAGGACAGTTGCATATGCCAGTCTATTACGGCATACATCAAAATGGCGACCGGTGGTGCTTTGTCACTTTGCGATTTTCACCGAGGAGGAACTGGGTGAAATTTTACACAATAATAAAAAATGCAGTGTTTTGTGTGAATGTTAAAGTTATTAAATGGGACATCATTAAATTTTCAATACTGTCTGTCTCCTTAAATTAAAATAATGTTCCATTTTATCCAAATACTTCACGATCAAAAACACGGTGGAATGGATGAATGAAATACCGCAGCTGCCTGATGAATATTTATGAGGTATAGTAAAACAAATACAACATGTTTTTGCGGGGGAATAGTGAAAACAAATGACCCCTCCGTTTTGGATGATTGGGACTATCTCCCGAGGCGAAGCCGAGGGATATAGTCCCAATCATCCAACACCTCGGGGTCATTAGTTTTCACTATTTCCCAACAAACCATGTTGTATTTGTATACTTTAGAACTACAGACATATAACAAAAGAAAAAAGATAGTACACAGTTTTATGGTTTGTCTGTGGTATGATTTCTGGTGTGATTCTGTGTTATGATACTAAAAGATACAACTGTAAGAGCATTCTTCACTGGAGTGTATGCACAGCATCCTACTATTGGTTCATAAAGTACTTACAGTTCTTAATGTACTGTACTTACCTCTGCATATTTAGTCAGTTTGGTCTCTATCTCCATGAGAATATCCTCCCTAGCCTCAGACACAGAGTGTAACGTTGCACTTAGGTACTGAAACCAGGAATTCATTTTGTTCATTAATTCCGACAAAATACATGTACTATCATTCAATAGAAGTGGAAATATTTTTTAATAGCTGCGAAAACCTCTAAATAAACTCCATTATTTGTTTGGGCAGGTTTTTCATGGAACTTTTCTAATAATTGTAGGAGGTCTTCTATTTTGCCAGAACATCCTTTTAGGACTTAAAAGAACTTAAATTTCAAACTTTTGTGGAAATTCAAAACATCCATACAGTATAGCACACAATGTGGACTTTGACCTTTGTCTGACCTTGACCTGTACAAGAAGGCAACCTAAACCCAGCATACCCCTCTAGAATGTTTCTTTGGGACATGTACAGGAAGTGTACACAATTTGGTGCTTTATTTTGGCGTGTCACAATTTTTTCCTTAGTCCACTAGACTTAAACTATAAACTGTGCTGAATACTTTCTTAAGTTGACATGTTGTGCAGGCCAGTTGATGCGGTAAACCTTGAGTGAAATCTGTTCTATGACGTATTGTTTCAAGCACTGGTTTTTGAACAACTTTTCTGAACATTTTTCTATGTCTTTTTGCACCAAGAAAGGTACAGAAAATAGCCTCCAATATGTAAACACAAATGGTGTAGGCTTAAGGCCGATGTACGATACGATAAAATGGGGAAAATCGCCGCGGTGGACAAGTGACTTTTGTCATGTTTACCGTGTGCCACGCTATATGACCGGCCGAGGCTACGATGTCAAACATGGCACAAATCCTGTGGTGAGCGACCATTTTAACTTTTACCGTTTTAGCTAACACAGTGTCTGAACATGGCCAAAGTTATGGTTTGATGATACGCGATAGTCCAGCGCTGCAATAACCCACCACTGCCAGAGGGCTTTTAAAATTGGATTGATTCGCGCAAGGTTTCAAGAAGTTTTGGGGGACAAGATTTTTTTTCTCTCTTAAAATCTCTTTTTTTCATAATAATTTTAAAAACTATGTGATTTGTTTTCGGCTGATCGCTGGGTGCGGATTTTCGTCATCTGTGGTCTTTATCATTTCAAAATCTTTTGTTCCATATGCATGTTGGAAACAAAACTAAGAGGTGCAAAAGTGCATTGGCATGAACATACATGCCGTCGGAACGTCTTGGAAAATTCGCAAATTCTCCCCCGAATAATGGGGGAAACTAGTATAGTGTATATTTCCAATTACATGTAGTACACATAAACAGACTAGGTGAGTTTTACACCAGGGGCATCATAAAGAGAGAGAGACAAAGTAGATACATGTAGACTTTTGTTTTCCACTGCCTTTATAATTAAATTTTTTTTAAAAACCTTGGTTTTACAGATAATGACTGAAGTATCTTTCCTTATACATACCTCCAATAATGTAGTGACCTTGCTACTTTGACCAGCAAATCTAGTGAATTCTTCCAGTCTTGATGAAATCAAAATACAGTCAAGCTAGCCAAAAATGGTAAATATGCAACGTTACTCAAAATTCTTTTTAAACATGTTACATGAAGCATGCCCGTAATTATTTTAATATCTTTAGAGTGTTTTCATTTTTTTAAAACTTAATATCAGAGATAGTTGATTCAAAATCAGCAACGTTTCTATTTACACGGTTTAAGGACAACCTGTCTTGCCTACAGATCATACCGATTTCACAGAATGATCTTCGGAAGGCCGTGATCAACTAAGCTAAAATATATAGTGATAAAATTACTTTGCATCATCTCTGATACTCAGAGGGTGACAAATTCTAAAATCTCCATATCAAAGAAATCTTGGTAAAATGAAACATTTCAAAACAGAATGAAATCACATTGAGAGTAAATGAGATATATGTATGATGCTTCATATAAAACATTAGCAACACATATGATTGCAACAATAATCTCAACAGAAGGTGAAATAAATTCAATGGAAGTTAAAAGTACTTACCGACAACAGGTAAGCAGTGGGTATTGCATTGCAGTCCTCCTTGGTCTGGTCCACAATTACTGACAAATAGCGTAGGTCCTTGGAGAGAGTTGCTGCAATTACTCTGTGACAGTTCAACTGAAAGTTTCCGTAATGTAATGTGTTACCTTCAAAACAATTAATCTGAAACATGTCTGACACAACATAACTGTTCTCTTTTGCTACTGTAAAATTGTGATAAATCTTCATAATTGAAGCTGTTAAAGCCGCTCTGCACTTCCCCCGACAAGTTTGTTTAGAGATTGTAACTTTCCGCTTTTTGACTGACCTTTGTTTTCAACCAGGGTGATACAATGATATCACAGGAAAACCCTTAGTTTCCATTTCATGTTGTAGTTCAGGGTCCTGGTAATCATTTGGGTTGATACATCCCTTCTCTCCTCTATTAAACGCCTTTTACAGATGATATTTAACACAGTATGATCAATGTTCTATTGTACAGCTTTTGATTATTTAGTTTTTATTAATTTTGTAGCATAAATTATTAATTTTGTGGCAATTGTTTGAAAAGCTTTTGTTTAGTCATGTTCAATTATTACAAGACTACAAGACACATGAAGTTGGACACCAATTTTCTTGACAATTTTATGGTTAACAATTATGACTTCCTGATATGGAACATGGACATTTGTGAAATGGTAAATCAGTGGCCATACATATACACACTGTCTGTGAGAGTTGCCGAAAATGTATAAATACAACCTGCTTGCCAGGGTCTTTCTCTTGACTTATTCCAGACAGCTTGATTGCTCCAATAGCCGCTATACCATATGCATATAACTCGAGGGTTCCACCATCTAACCCAACTACTAGAACATTCAGCCTGGGAAATATAAGAGTACAAAACAATTCATTTATGTAGAACACGTTGGTTTAAATCAAAGGCCAGTTTAATCCACTGAAGCAAGGATCGGATTATTTGAGTTCCTTAATATTGTATTTAAAGTGATCTTACATAGTTTTTAGACATGGCACAACAAGAGTGTCTACAAAACAGTGATGTAATGTAGTCTAGACCTTTTGCCAGGCGTCACACAAGTGAAATGCTAGGCTTGTGCAGTATTGTATTTACAGTCCATACTATATAACGTTACCTTTTTCCTGCAGGGATGGGTATGCCAAAAAGATCATTTGTTCTTAGTTTCAAGTTTGTTTAGCTTCATTAGTTTTAAAACAAAAAATCAATGTGTTGTTGAAGAACATTTCAAATGAAAAAAAAAGCTTGATAATTTGAATCTGCTGTAACTATTCATGGTAGCAGGCCCATTCTAATTCTAGGCAGCCAATTCTTGAACTTCTATCAATATTTAAAATAACTTACTTTTTCTGTCCCTTAAGTCTTTTGGCATCTTCAACATTGTCCTCAGAAAAAACTTTCGCCGAATGTCTGCAATAAAGAAAATAACATGAACCCATCAAAATTCTCTTCAAATTAAGCTCCTCAGACATTCAAACTTTCTGAATAAGTCTGTCGGTCTAAGGGTAAGTGTTGAGGAATTTCTCTATAACCCTGGGCTACTGTTGGTCTTGATACAAACAAAGTTAGCACACATTTTAAAATGTTTAGGAAGTCAAGCACTTTGTATTGATTTTAGATCAAGCGAGGAAACCAAAAATAACTCTTAACAACTTATGTGGGCTGAGATGATCAACCATTCCAATGTTTGCTGATTCTCCACTGAACAAAAAACATGCTTTAATTTCAAAATTGTTAACAGCTGTAATGCTTTACACGTGTAGCACATGTACATGTATGTGATTAATTTGTTGGGCCTCAGTTTAGGCTGACTCATTCCCTTTTTGAATCATTGTATCAAAATTATATCATCCCATTGAGCACTCTATTAGTAATTGTGCAAGTTGCAGTCATGTGTATTTGGTAATTGCGCTATTTGTATGTATGGATATTAGGTTTTTTTATGGGTTTTCTTTTGGTAACAAGTATCGCTTGCCATAACAGAAGAGCAAAACTATAATGAATGTACATGTACTATAGGCAGCATGCACCTCCTTCACTACATCGTATACAGTTTGTATGCAACAATCTCCATCAATAACATCCCTAAGCACATTTCATTGAAAGGCCTACATAAAAATGTGCATTAAATACCTGGTACATGTAGTAGGTGGGTTTTTTTTATACTACATGTATAATCTCAATGTACATTACTCGTTTTCAGCCAATGTACTTTACACGTTGTGTGTGTCACATAAATTACACACATACCAATGCACATGTGGTTTCTTACACGTCCGCAGAAGGTGAAACCTCATGGCTGGAATCACAACTAACACCAACAGCCTGATTTTGGGGGGTCGCAAAAGTGGACCCCGAAATTTGTTCTCGCATGAATAACACAAAAATGCACAGTTTTTGAAGGATGGTTATGTGGATTTTTATCCTACTTTTAAATGCTCTCTTTCCCATTAACATCAGTTTATTCAAAATGCATTTTGTAGCCCAATTGGGTGCTTTCCAGGCCGCAGTGTCTCTTTAAAGGTATAGTCCATCTTTTGTAATCTGTGCATTTGTCCGTTTGAAGCAACAAACGTGCTCAAAATCTAAAGATTGGTACTGAACAACTAACCTGATGAAGTTTCAGCTCAGCTTTAGCTGTATATTTCAAGAAAAACAACATTCTAGGCTCTCGATTTCAAATCAAAAGTTGCTGAATCATGTTTTGAACTGGGCCTGAATTCAGCATCTGAGACACGTTCTCACTGAGCCGATTGCAGCTACGCGATGTCGCTCATCGATCCGACAAATAATAGCAACCGCACACGTGTGTGCGTCATGCCAATGCTTTCGTGCACTTCGCCGAATAAAAAACAAACTACTAACAAAAATTTCCGACGGTGCGTCTTTAGAGGCACCAACAAAAATTGATTTCTTCAAAATGACAGCTTGCCAGAAAGAATAATTTCACAGGGAGTTTAGTCCCCTTACTATATTTCAACCAAGATGTTTTTCAACAATAATTACGTCAGTTAGCAACCCATGTACCCAGGTACATGTAGGTGAACTTGTCCACGTCATTAAGTGCGGTCCCCTTGACTGTGTTGTTGGGTTGCTGGTGGGCTTTACCAGGGCTGGGCTAGAACATTACTTCAGTTTTCTTTGTGCTAATGGTGAGTACAAAATTGTCGCACGCAGCTGAAAACCTATCAGTGCTTGTTTGCATTTCGAGCTCACTGGTGGCATTCAGAGCACAATCATCAGCAAAGAGGAAGTCTTTAATGACCGTGTTTTTCACTTTGGTGACAGCCTGCAGGCGGCGTTGGTTAAACATTTGCCATTTTGTCACTAGGAAGGCTTCTGATAGTGTTGCATGTATAGTTAGAAATATGTTAAGCGAATTTGGGTAATGTTTCACAGAAAATTTTAAAAAGGTACAAATGTCATATTTGGACGTAACACTGACACGGTGTCAGTGTTACCGGTACGTCTGAAATGACATTTTTTTTGCTCATATTTTTGGCAAAATACATTGAAATGATTTGAAACTTTCTGCAGTAGTGAAATACCCAACAACAAGTATTATGTAGAGCAACTGCTAGCAAGGCATTCGTGCTTTTCATAATATGGTCATATGTCACACATTGTTCCCCAACCCGGTGGAATGACCAATATGGAAAAGCATGCAGACACAACTGTATGTGGTATTTATATTGCTAAAAGACAACTGTTCCTGTCAATATGAAAGGATAGATTTGGTTTATTTTCCATTGTGAATTTATTAAATGTACACTGTACAATAACACTCACAAATTCTTCAAACTTTGTAATCATAGATGTATGTGAACTGGTAGGTATACACAGGTAAACAATCAAGGCAGTTACACTCACATTTTAGCTAGCGGTGGAAGCTTTGGCAGGAACATATCTGAGCCATCAGCAAACATATCTTGTTCCTGGCTCTTGAGACTGTCTGTAGTCTTGTCTTGCAAATCAACCCACTGTATACATGTGATTGCTGACTTCAAATCTACTCTGTGTAGTATATCAGCATTTTCTACACTACACAAGAGCAAATGACCACCCTTGTATCCTACTGCCAGTACTGTGAACAAAACATAAACACAAACAAATGAAATGCAATGTGGTCCACTAAGCTGATAGTTATAAAGGACACACTCATTTAGTGAAAATGTTATATGAGAAATGAGCACAAAATTTGCAGCCTTGTTGCCTGGCACTGTGAATTATGAAGAAGTATTTTACTTTGATTCAAGTAATGCTTGTATGTTTCGCAATCTAACAAAGATACTGAAAAGTGTGTTTGTCACATGGACTAACACAGCTTTTTTTTTAATGACCTTCTGTTTGAATCTTTATTACCATCCTCCGTGCATTGGCCAAAACTTCAGGCAGTGGATGTACAGTTGGTTTAGTAAGATTGTAGCACGGTTTTACAAGAATTAAAATAATACTGCAATAGATTTCGCTTTTTTGAGTAAATGGTAAAGGTGTTGAAGGAACACAAATTCAACCAACTTGTGGTGGCTCAGATTGATACCATATCATGAATATCGACTTAAAGAGAAGATACAACATGTGCAAACATCACAAAAACGAAATGATCAAATTATAACTAAATATCTTACTGAACTGTTAGTGAATGACAATCTAAAGCATCCTGTGAAATCGTGGTTCCTGGTGTGCTAACAATGTAAACAAAAATTGTATTTTTCCAATGCTGGTCGGCCGACCATCGTTGGAGGAAACTGGCTTTTTTCAAATACTGCTCGTTATTGTTCATATTAAGTCATTCCGCATTTTCTTTGCAATTGATGACACATCTGTGAAGGGGTAACAAGCCTGCTAGACTGATTCTCTTACCTTATAGTCCCCAAAGTCTATAAATTACAACGTCTCATCTTAAGTGGAGTCAGGGAACCAGACTACAAGTACAAGAACATGGTTGGTTTTCTTTGATTTTCCAGCATCTCCCAACCCAAAACATGAAACAAGCTAGTTTAACAATATTTTCTAAAGCACACTAATCCTCAAAATCCATTTATTTCTGAAAATTGCAGCAACAGCAAATGTTGTATATTCCCTTTAAGATTCATCTGGGCTTACTGAGATTAAGAGCTTTTCTTCGCGCATATTGATATCTTCACCTCAACCAAAAAAAAAAGAAAAGAAGAGAGCGAGAGAAAGGAAAAACAAAAAAGTGACACAAAGTGACTTTTGATCAACAATAAATATCTAAACATTCATTACCACCATGCATCGTCTTTCATTCAACCAACAACCTAGTCTAGGGGCTAGATGTTGCATGGTTTGATACGTGATAACCCGCCGCCGCGGTAAGGCCAAAAAAAAAGAATAGTTCTGCTTCCGGTTACCCGACCGACCCTATTTTTTTAGGCTGCGACCCTAAAAAATTTATCGGTAATTCCAAAAAAAACAACAATAATGATTGAATAAATAAAAATAAAAACCTGTTGTCTTTTCTGTCTTCACAAAATACCTCTCTACAACCCTTCAAAAAAAATGCTTGTATTTATTTGTTTTCTTACTTACAGTTGCTATTTTTTCAAAAGAAACTTCTGTTATTTTTACACATTCGCTTTGCGATATGAGGCCAAAAAAAAAATACTCGGTCTCTGGTCAGCGCGCGCGTCGATTTTAATCATGCGCCTCAACCTTTTTTTTTCCTTCAAATTAACGAGGAAGCTACAACAGCTCTATTGCCGGGCCTCCTCAAAGTTTTGTACCAAGGAGCACCAAGGAATGGGGAAATTGCACCAAGGCAAATGATAAAGGGCACCAAGGCAAATGATAAAGGGCACCAAGGCAAATTATGGAGGACACCAATGTATAATGAGGACACAAAAAAGCAAAATAATACCCACCTTGTCTGTACAATACAAGCTTGAAAAAAAAAATTAAAAAATTAAAAAACGCGTCGCCGCATCAATTCTGGAACTTCGGTCTGACCAGAGACCGACTATTTTTTTTGGGGGGGACTAACTATGTACTTCGCAATTCGATGTCACGGTGACTATAATCACGTGCATAAGCTCAATGCGGTGACGACTGTTTCCCGCCGCGCCGTGCAGGGGCCAATTTAGAAGACATGATGAAAATGCGGTAACTAGTCTGTGCACGGCTATGCGATCGATAGCGCTAGCATGGCTATGCACTGCAGGCACGTGCACTGTCAACTGGTCGGATCCAACATCGTAAAAATGCCAAGAAAACACCAATGGAGAAAGAACATTTTTGCAAGTTATTTCACAGAATTGATCTAGCTTGTCTGTGTATGTATTTTCCGTGTTCAAAAGTTCATTTTGAGATCGCACAACTCGTATTGGAGTGATACAATGCAGCGTGTTTCCTGAAATTTTCGACCGTAAAAACGAGGTCTGTTGGCCGCGGGCCACACATGCACAGTGCATCACACACTTCGGAGTTTTGGTCAGCTTCCTGTCTTGACAAGCATTGTGCCTATGGTGCGAACGACCTGAATTTTCCATTATTTTTTTAAGAATTATCAAACGTAAATATATTGACAATAATTAAGGTAGGTTTTATTTACTTTTTGTGGCCATTTTGTGTATAGCTTTCGTAGTGCAATGGAAATAGTTCAGGCTAAAACTTCGCATATAATTGAATACTCCATTCAATCTGCATAAAAAAAATTGGCCAAAAAAAAAAAATCCGACCGACCAACCCTATTTTTGAAAGGCATGTAATCGGAAGCAGAACTATTTTTTTTTTCGGCCTAACCCGCCACCACCAGAGGGCACTTTCACAACCAACCAATATTGCCCATGGACTTGTCAGTAGCAACGTCTAGGGTATTTCCTAAAATCTCCCTCCAAAAATGGAGGAAACTATTTCGCATGCACGGCTTCTGCAGGTAATTACGGTCCATTTTCAGTTCCACACATACTACACACAACAAAAGAGCTGACCAGTGAAGTTGCACAAAGGTCTTGCTGCATCTTTTATTGTACTTTAAGAAATTTGAGAGTTTGCTTCGGAATTTAATTGAAGGCTACCAACTGTCAACAGTTTCAGCGTGGAAAAACAGCTCTGGTGCAGCAACTGGTGGTGTAGGTATACTAATAAGTCCATCTGCAAGCAAAGCCCTGAAATCAGTCACCTTCATTGCACCAAGAATCATCTTAGTTACCATGAACGGTAATCCAACGGCATCAATCATAGTGACGTACTCTCCAACCAATGTATCAGATGAAGGAGATGTCAAAGAATTTTACAGGAAGTTATCTGAAACAACCAAAGGCATCCCAGTTCACAACTTCTTAGCTCTACTCGGAGACTTCAATGCATGAATTGGAAAAGACATTGGAAAATTTGCATACCATGATGAAACCAACAGAGATGTAGACTACATGCTGGTCCGAAGGACGTGGAAAAACTGTACTAAACTCGCAAGCATACAATTCATTTGCAAGTATTGGCTCAGACCACAGGATTGGGACAATATGTGTCAGACTCAGTCTCACAACAAACGGGAAAGCAACATTGAAGACGGTAAAATATGACTGGTACAAACTGTCAACAGACCCAGAACTCCAGGATCGATATTCAGTGGATGTCAAAAACAGGTACACAATTTTGTGTAAGGATGATTCACACATTGATGACGACCCAACTGTCAAGTACAGTTATCTTATTCAGGCAAACAGGGAAACAGCTGAGAAGCTCGTACCCAAAGTTACAAAGAAACGTTGTAAGGCTCAATGCTACGATAAGAGAATCGAAGAGGCAAAAAAACAACTGGAGGAGATACATGACAGGTACATTACAGAGAACTGTAAGGAGGCATCCATAGAATTTGAACAAAGCAAAGAGATGCTTGATCAAGCCTATGAAACTGTTAACAAAGAGTTTTTGGAAACAAAATTTTGAGAATACGAGTCAGCCAACTACAACAAAAAGCAAAAACTTGCATGGAACCTCATCAATGAGATAAGCGGAAGGAAACAGAACCGAGCTGGTCGCATTAAAGGCGATACAACAGAAAAAAGAATAGATAACTGGTATATTCCAGCAGCTATTGGGCAAGCCACCCAAAGTAGCAGATGAATATGAACAGATACCTCCATATTTGAGGAACTGCCTGTCAAAACGGATCCATTTAATGAAGAAGAATACAACAAGGCAAAGGAGGCAATCAAAGAAGGAAAGAGTTTTGGTGAGGACGGCATACCCCCAGAGGTCCTGAAAAGATGCAACCTAGATGACATCATACTGGATATACCTGTATGTAACAATGCTCTCACAAACAGAAAGAAACCAGAACAATGTGTTACAATCGAGAGATTTACATACGTATTTAATAAGCTTAAGATTAGGCACGTCTAGAGCCTGCAATCCACCTGAGGATTAGGCACACCTTGAGTATGCGGTACACAGGTATTAAAATTCTAGCGGCCTTAATCGCTGCACATTGTATTGTATTTTTGGGATTTGACGAGCATATAAGGCTGGGTTCGACTGCCCTCGTGTCACACACGCCAAACTACTACCACGGGGTCAGCCGGAGGCTTCGGTCCACTTCCCTTCGCAGCTGTTCTGTGTGTCGCCCCGCAGCTGTAACGTTTCGGTAGTCAACGCCGAAACGTCCCAAGAACCAAGTCAAGACGATGCTGGTATAGTGAGCCTGCTTTTAGCTCACTTTTTCTGGTGGTCTCCTTCGATGTTCCAAGTCAAGAGCTCTCCGTAGATGGCTTGAGCCAGACTAGCCCATTGCTCTCCATAGATGGCTTGAGCCAGACTAGCCCATTGCTCTCCGTAGATGGCTTGGGCCAGACTAGCCCATTGCTCTCCGTAGATGGCTTGAGCCAGACTAGCCCATTGCTCTCCGTAGATGGCTTGAGCCAGACTAGCCCATTGCTCTCCATAGATGGCTTGAGCCAGACTAGCCCATTGCTCTCCGTAGATGGCTTGGGCCAGACTAGCCCATTGCTCTCCGTAGATGGCTTGGGCCAGACTAGCCCATTGCTCTCCGTAGATGGCTTGGGCCAGACTAGCCCATTGCTCTCCGTAGATGGCTTGGGCCAGACTAGCCCATTGCTCTCC